TGGCAGGCCACTAGTGCCTTCCACAAGAGGTGGCAGCGCAGCAGGGCAACACACCGGCGCGTGTGTCTGAATTGCAAGCAAGCCCAAGAGTGCTACTTCTGCGCGGCTGCATGGCGCCCTCGTGAGCCATGTCGAAAAATGCAAGACATGCAATCAGAAGCAACGAGGGTTTTGGACTTATGCAAACTGCAAGACATCATGGCCGAAACAGTGCTGTAGGAGGCACGTGCGGCAGCAACGCAGCAGGAACGGAACGCAGACATGCGACGCATGCTTAGCAAACTGGAAGACATTGCGCGTAGAAGTCGCCAGCGAATTGCCAGAACGCGCGCGAAGCGGAAGGAAAGCATCCTTGCAGAAGTTTGGCGTGCGATTGCAGCGACGCGAGGGGCGCCAACTACGGCAGCGCTCGCAGCCCGGAACTCTTTTGCGAAGCCTTCTTAGAGGGCAGGCCGCGCAGCTGACGCGTTGTGCGCCACCCCTCAGTCGATCTTCCAAGATTCCTCTACATCGGAGCATCCTCTGCATGACCAGACGTAGCGACTAGTTGCCGCGACGCGCGCTAAATATGACCATCGCTACGCATCTCCACCATCTCCAGTCAGCACTACGCACCCCCAGCATCTCGTGCAGGGATGATGGTGATGATGATAAGCATCACTACGCATCCCCAGCATCTCCAGCGTAGCGCCCTCTGCATCTCCAACTGTGAAGTATAAGAAGAATGAAGCGAATAAGTGCGAAAAGGATGTAAGAAAAGAACAGGATGCTGATGACCGTCATGACGATGACTACGAAGATATGATGCTGATGGATGATGATGATGATGACGGTGATGATGATGATGATGATGATGAGGAGCCTGTGTCTAGCGAGCAAACTCCGCCAGCTGTCAACGAGCAGATGCTCAACCGAGCCAGTTTCAGACGAGCGTGGTCCAAAGCAAATTTAAGTATCGTCGTAGAACCCCCTGCGTCTCCAACTGCGCCTAACGCGATTTTGGAAAAGAAGAACCACAAGACTAAGATGGCCCAAAGCAAATTCAATTATCGTCGTCTGCGCAGCGCAACAAGAAATAAGCGAGGATTTACGAAAGGGATTCAAGAAAAGAAAAGGGCGCTGAAGATCGTCATAACGACGCCTACGATGATATGATGCCAATGATGCTGATGGATGATGATCATGATGGTGATGTTGATGATGATGATCATGTGTCTAGCGAGCAAACTCCGCCAGCTGTCAACGAGCAGATGCTCATCCGAGCCCAAAGCAAACCCAGCATTTCCAGTAGCAATGATAATAATCACCACACACCCCTATCATCTCCAGCAATGATGGTAATAATCATCACTTCACATCGGCATCTCCAATGCCTGTATTTCATAAGAATACTAAGGCGATGATCATCACTACGCATCCACAGCATCGCCAGCAACAATCATCGTGATGATGATGACAATCACTACGCATCCCTACCATCTCCAGCAGCGATGACCAGGATGATAACCATCACTATGCATCCCTTTTTTTGCAGCAGCGATGTCCAGTGATAGTCATCACTACGCACCCCTAGCATCTCCAGCAGCGATGGGCAGGATGCTGAAAACCATCGCTGATAATGATGATCATCACTACGCATCCCCAGGATCTCCGGCAATGATGATAATCATCACTACGCATCCATCATGATAATCATCATTGCCCATTGCCAGCATTTCCAACTGTGCCTAACGTGACTTTTCAAATGTGTATGATAAGAACACTAAGGCGATGATCATCACTACGAATCCACAGCATCGCCGGCAACAGTCACCGTGATGATGATGATGGCCATCGCTACGCACCCCTAGCATCTCCAGTAGCAACAAGGATAATCAGCACTACGCATCCCTAGCATCTCCAGCAGCGATGATCAAGATAATGATAATCTGCGCTACGCATCCCTAGCATCTCCAGCAGCGATGTCCAGCAGCCATGATGATAGTCACCACTACGCATCCCTAGCATCTCCGGTAGCGATGAGCAGAATGATGATAATGATCACTGATGACGATGACCCTCACTACGCACCCCCAGCATCTCCAGTCGCAACGATGATAATCATCACTATGCATCCGTAGCATCTCCAGCAATGATCAGGATGATGATCATCATCACTACGCATCCCTGGCATCTCCAGCAGCGATTTCCTCTACTGCGGTAATCGTCACTACGCATCCCTAGCATCTCCAGCAGCGATATCCAGCAGCAATGGTGATAGTCATCGCTACGCATCCCTAGCGTCTCCAGGAGCAATGAGCAGGATGATGACAATTCTCACTGATGATGATGACCATCACTATGCACCCCCAGCATCTCCAGCAATGATGATAGTCACCACTACGCATCCCTAGCATCCCCAGCAGTGATGATCAGGATGATGATAATCGTCACTGCGCATCGCCGGCATCTCCAACTGTGCCTAACGTGGCTGTTGAAATGTGTATAATACGAATACTAAGGCGACGGTCATCACTACGAACCCACAGCATCGCCAGCAAAAGTCATCGTGATGATGACGACCATCACTACGCACCCCCAGCATCTCCAGCAATGATGATAATCATCACTACGCTCCCCTAGCATCTCCAGCAGTGATGATCAGGATGATGATAATCGTCACTGCGCATCACCGGCATCTCCAACTGTGCCTAACGAGACTTTTTGAAATGTGTATAATACGAGTTCTAAGGCGATGATCATCACTACGAATCCACGGCATCGCCAGCAACAGTCATCGTGATGTTGACCATCACTACGCATCCCTTGCATCCCCAGTAGCAACGGTGATAATCATCGGTACGCATCCCCAGCATCTCCAGCAGCGATGATCAGGATGATGATAATCATCACTACGCATCCCTAGCATCTCCAGCAGCGATGTCCAGCAGCACCAATGCATCCCGTGCATCACGAATTGGGGGTAACGCTGATGATGATGATGATGATGATGATGATAAGGGATTGCGATCATAACTATCATCGTGGCATCCTCTGCATCACCTTCATATATGTATAAGAAAGGCATACGATGACCATCCACCCTTCCCGTGCGCCTCCCCCTTTTGAGGACAAGGGGTCGGCGGATATTGACAACGCGTGGCGCAATCGGAAGCGAGCCTGCGCGTAGTTCTTGAACTCCTGGAGCGGCGAGCCACTTCTGCCCTGGCCCTAGCTGCTCTTTTTGTTCAGCTGATACAGCCCTTCCCTTACGCTAAGGCTGTCCCTGCTTGTTGGCAGTGAGGCGCGGAAGTTTGTTTTGTGCTCGGAATGCGAAATTGAGCATGTACTGCACTGACGTGCCAACGTCACCTTCCCATGGCAAAGACAGGCAGCATTTCTTGCTGCCGCTGCCGCTGTGGTGGGTTTGGAAGGCTTTCAGCTGTTCATAGGAGGGGAGTGAGCATAGCTGTTGGAAGGGCGATTGGCACATGGAAAGCAAGAAGGCTTTCTGGTCTAAAGAAGCATTGCTGATGTTTGCAGTTGATGTGAGGAGCAATCATCGGCTTGGTGATAGCGCAGCTCTTTGCTTGGGTTGTCGGGTGCGCCTTTCTTTTGCGTTAGAGGCTAGACAAAGTGTACCGTCTTTTTTGTGATTGCATTGACAGGCCTGCGGAAGTTGCCTTTTGGTGTCAAGCTGAGCATTGGCGTTGCTCGGTTTGCGAAAAGGGTGCGGATTAAGTGAAATGAGATCAGGTATCTTGCCTTTCTAGCCTTGGGAGTAGCCGCCACGGGCGTGGGCGACAAGACCGCCATTGCAGCACTCGGCTTCGCAGTGGGCGGCTTCTTCCTGTCGAGGCGTGACCGTGTTGCATGTCCAGACGCCTGATGGCCCTGACGCCAGTGCCTTGGTCTTCGTGCTCGCCGAGATCCTTAGTGCGGCAGCTCTGCCAAGCTCGTGGGTAGACTCCGCGAAGCTGGCCTTCTTTGAAGGTGAAGATTGGAGGGCACGTCAGCACCTGCCAGGCAGATGCCTATGTGAATGGCATCAACACACAGCAAGCCTTGGGCAAGGCAATGCTCGCAATCTTCACAAGATATGTGGCACCATCCAACGCCTTTGCGCTTGATGCAGGCCGCCGTCGTCACACGAGCAGCAGGCTTCTGTCTTTGGGCTGCAACAGCCTCAGTCGAACGGTCGTCATAGTTGTTGCACGTGGCAAGCGTGCACAGCGCTCACTAGGCCGTCGTTGTCCTGGGCAAGCGGTGCTCCAGCTGGATGAACCAAAAGCTTCAGCTCCAACAGCCAGACAATTTGAGGCGCATTCACGCCAATGATCAGAATGATTAATCACGACAAATGAGCAAAGATAGGTTTCACTAGTGGATCTCATCTAACTGTTTGCCGATGCTGGATTGAGGCAAGGGGGCAAGGCTCTAGCAAAGATGTTGCTAAATGCAGACTGAATTTTCACATATTAGCTTGAGCCCCTTGTGATATTGATGCATTCATGTTTGTTTCATTTGGGGCTTGACATGGAGGCATTGGTCGTGGGCCGAAGAGCCTGCTTTACTGCATTGTATTTCTTGTTTTGTGTGTGTGTGTGTCTTAATACTTGTTTGATTTTCATGTCATGCTTGCTGGCTGCAGGTAGCTAGGTTGATCAAAGATTCTGTTGGTACTCTTGAACAATGCTGCTACGTGAGTTCCTTCTTCGCTGGTTTGCCAATGCTGGAAAATCTCACATTCAGCGAGTTCAGGCAACCTTTGCTGGAAGTCCAGGCGGAGGCCAGTGACGCAAGCCAAGATCGTTACGACTCATGAAGCACTGGTAAATCGTGGATGGCATCAAGCGGGGTCTTCAGCACTGCCAAGAGCGATGCTTTTCAGGTCGAACCTTGAGAGCCAGAAGCAGATGAAGAAAAGGGGTCCTGCATGCGCTTGATGCATTCTGCAGCTGCTTGATGCATTCCTCTGTTTGAATTGCACCAAACGCGACAGCACTCTGTGCGTGTTTCCGAGCCAGGGCCCCCAGGCTCAAACTGGGCATAAGGCCGTTTCACTTCACCAGAGCCATAGGAAGAGCCGCAGAGCAGTGGCAGAAGCCTTAAGGAAAGAGGACTCCGTGCTTGCACACTTGACTCAGGTGTCTGGTCATG